AGCATAGTTTATATGGATTATTCCCAAAAAATTATACGTGTTTTGGAAATGTTGAGTCAAATTAGTCTAGAATCGATTAACTTTATGGAAGAAAATCTTTCAAACAGCTGTAGTCCATAAACTGCATATGTGCCAGGCTGTAATTGGCTCATGTATTTAAGGACTCATAGAACATGAATTTCATAAAAAGTGGAACATATCTACCGTGTTATGGGGGGGTCAACTGTATATAATCCAACAAACTGATAATCAATTATTTGAAAGCAAAGAAAGTAATAACTTATTAACTTTAAATTTAAAATAGATATTTAACAAAGCAATAAAAGATTTCCATGTTGCCACAATGATGTAGACCAAATGCCCTCACTAGTAGATACTTCAGATCTCAATGCTTAATAGTTAAACATCAAATAATTTTAATGAATAAAATAAAATATGTAACAAATTCAACATTTTAAACAGCTTTCTTATGCATAATAATATCAAAGTGAAGCATGTGATATCACAGTCATGTGACAAAATATAAATTTTTTTAAAAAAATAAGCATTTAAAATATATTTGAAGCTTTATTCTTTTTATGAAATTTACACATTAAACTAATTAATTTCAAATAAAAATTATCATACAACACAAAAGATTCTAATAACAGACTAAATTATGGTATTATTAGTCATTTGACTGATCAAAAATTGCTGAAAATTTGATACACTTGATATATATATTCAAAGTTTTATAATCTTCTGTATATCTAGAGGTCAAGAGGTTTAATATGAGATGTCATTTACAAAATTGATCAATAGGAAGTGTTTGAACTAAGTGACTTTGTTTGCTTTTAAATATATAGATGCAGTTTGGTAACATATTTCAAAACAATTATAAGCAAACATTTCTTATGAAACACAATTGATAAAACTATTTTATTAAACATTAATTTATACTAAATTTATAAAAATAAATATATTTACTGTGAGAAATTAATGTAAATTTAAAGAAATTAAGATTAAAATAAAATTATGCAAAAAGTTGTTACCTTAAAAAATTTAAACGTTCCATAACTTGTTGCATATGACTATATCTGCTACTTGGAGAAATAGTATTTGGATCCAAATCTGGATATTCTAAATAATAAATTTTAGCATATATTATTTCATTCAATTATTATTATTACTATTTTTTCATTTAAAATTTTTTCATAATTTGGGAAATTACATAATAAGAGTTTTAAAACAGATTTTTAAAATTAAAAAAAAAAAAAAAAAATCAGTTATACAATTTGCATGTTATCAAATATTAAAACAAAATATATTGAGATATTTAATAAAAATTAAATAATTATTTCTTCATAAAAAATTTACATTGTAAGAAAAACTACAACTATAAAAAATATTTTATAAAAGTAATTTTTCTAATAATATAAATAGTATCATCAATAAGACTTAATACATATTGTAACTTAAGTTCAATTGATAACTGACATACCATCTAGAATAGTGTTCTCAATTGCCTCAAGTGTTCTATGAAAAAAGATTTTGAAGCTTTTATAACAAATATATTCCAATGTACTATAATATATTACTTTATTTGTACACAATTCCATGTTTCTATTTTATTCAATACCATAAAGTTTATTAGGTTATTGTTTCCTTGTTTTGTGAGACTAGTTAACATCAAATTGCTTATTGGTTTTTGAATATATTGATGCTAATGCTCTGCATAATAAAAAAAATATATAAATGGCATGTGCCTCAGAAAGGTTGAAAACCATTGATCTAGAGCAGGGGTCGCCAAAGTGGTTGATATAACATTATTGGGAGGGTTGATGAAAAGACT